GCCCCCCCCCCCCCCCCCCCCCCAAGAGGAAGGAGGGGGGCTGGGACTGGGGCAGGGTGCAGGACAGAGCCTTTAGTGGCTTATCCAGAGCGGTGTGGGGAGGGGGTGGCTCCCACCACTATGTGCACCCCCAGGCAAGCATGGGGGGTGTATGCCCCCCAGATCTGTACATGGGGTGAGGGCGGGCTGCTGCTGTGGGCTTGCCCCAGGCGCCAAGCTTCCTTGCTACAGCACTGTAACCAATAGGAGACAATCATAACGGCTACATTACATTTATCTTCTCATCTGTACATTATAAAGGTTAATTTGGATTAGAATTAACAGCATTCAGGGCTACCCAAAAGCTAGACTTGCAGAAACAAGCAGCTCAAACCACTGTAGGAATTAAATATTTCTAATTTCTACATTAGATTAAGCTTTGATTTAATCTCTCACTATGAGCAAATCTTGGCCCCATTGAAGCCAATTACAGCTTAACTAGTGATGTCATGACTTGAAACGTGAAAAACAAAGAACCCAGAAGGGCAGATGATTAGGAAAAGTGACTACTCATATATTCATTGCTCAGCAGCACGAAGGATAAAAATGAAAAAGGGGGGAAAAAATCTATCCCATTAACTATTTCCAGTCCTTTCCTTTGGTAATAGAGTTGGGCCCAGAACTAAGCTTACAGAAGTAGAATACAGAGTATGAAGCTACTTGTAATTAAGTCTTCAGGGCAGTAGGGTCTTATCATTTTTAGTGAACTTTTAAAAGCTCAGTGCAAGGGTAGGAAATGTAAATTATACACTGATGTCAATCAGCTCTCATTATCATACATTCAATCTGAATCAAATTAAGACTACATTTTCTCAAGGTTGGCATTAAAAAACCCCACATATAGTGGCGTTTGCATGTTTAACTGCAAAAAAACAAACAAACCATAAATAAAGGCAGTTGCTCAAGTCTTGGGCTTTTCCCACAAATTACTTAGTTCTCTTTTTCTAAAATGAAGAGACGCCAGCAGCCCAGACAGTTAACCAAAATTGTACAAGTGAACCAGGGCACATTTAGAAACAGGAACACAATTTGAGAAAGCAGATCCCAGGCACATGCTTGGTTGCTACTGCTTCCGCTTCAAATCTCATTCTTTTTTCAAAATCCAAAGCAGCATTGCATAGCAAGTAACAGTTGAATCTCACAGAAGAAAAGAGCATAAAAGCCTACTTTACAAAGTTATGTCAGTTTTCCTCAATTAACAGTTTCCTGTTTATTTTAAATTAATGT